ATCGCCGTTTTGCTGGCCTGATGTGGAAACTGAGGGGACAGACGCTGAACCACAAACATCACCAATACTTTGCGCGATAGAGCGCTTCCATCCTCCAGAGCCAAGAGAACTAATCTATTGACACAAATGGCAAACAATGTCATCAATTCAATGGATTATAACCAACAGATAGTGTACCAAACCTTAGCACTTCCTCCTGCATGGCTGGCCCTAAGAACTGACAGCCACGGGCTCTGACAGCCGCCCATAGGTTTGAACTGAAAAGACAAACAAAATGAGATCAAGAGATGACATATGAATGAAAGCAAACCTGAGTTGATATGAGTCCTGATGTTTGATGAGGAGCTCAGCCAACGCTCGCTCACCAATAGACCGCACATTCCTGAGCGCACGGCTCCGACCCTCGCCCTCAACCACCTGACAGTGCAATAGAGTGATTAACTTCCTCTGCATCGGACGCGACAACGATTGGTCTGAAAGACATAATAATTGAATCCAAAGATCATGAAAGAGCAGAGAGAAGACTAAGCGATGACTGACTTTGTTGTTGAGGTCGCAACAGAAGAGCCATTTGTTTGATACAATCAATGCATTTGCGATAATAGGGAATGTCTTGAATGTCAACGCAATCATAACTCTGAACGACTGGTCTGTCGTTACTTCTGGAGTTTGGTTGTGAGGAATTGGATCCATTTGGACAGCCATTCAGTTGAATGAGTCCCAGAATGGCCTCATTCTCAGGCAGTCGAGTCTCAATGGGCGTCGAATCGAAAGGACAGCTCTGAACAGACTGAACACGAATAGACATTCAGTGAGGAATGGGAGGACAGGGATGTGATGGAGACATACCTGAAGACAGTTTGAACAGCAGGTGTGCGAACAGATCAGAGTAAACGGCTTTCGCGTCACTGAGAACTGATTGAAACAAATGGGACACAAGAGGTAGTCATTGAGTTGTGGTGTTAATGGCATTGATGATATTCTTCTGGTGCTCTCTTGTCCACAGATAATGGGTGAGCAATGGCTCAATCACTTGACATGAGATCCACTGATTGTATGCAAAGTGAACTCAATTTGAGACAAACATTGCTTTCAAACCATTTCACAGATTTGTTGACATTTCCAGGAATACAGTAAACAACACATCGCTCGCA